CTCAGCACGGGACAATTATCCATCTGTAGGCACGAAGTTGTGTGGTATAGTTGCATTATCATCTCAGTGTACCAATCTCCCTCTGCTCACCCCATATATGAAGATTACAGGTCAGACGTCTATAGTCTGTTTTTTGTTGTTTTTCTTCTCTTTTCTTTTGTGTATATGAGGAACACACACACAAACACACTCTTACATAGGGTGACCAACTGTCCTGTTTTCCCAGGACATGTCCTGTTTTCAAATAACAATATAACAATTTTCTATCCATACAGAGGAGGCATAACCTACTTTAAATCTATTGAAATTAATAAGGTATCTTTGAGTAAACGTCGAGTATCATTTGAGTTGGCCCGTGTGTTTTCTGGGCCGAGTGTCCTGGTTTTTGGTAATCAAAATATGGTCACCCTACTGTTACACAAACACATTCACACATGCACGCTATCTCTCTCTCTCTCACACACACACACACACACACACACGCACACACACACACACACACACACACAGAGAGAGAGACAGACACACACTCACTCTCACAAACACACAGACAGACTCACACACACACACACACACACACGATGTAAAGACCTTGAACTCTCTTTATATTTTGGCCTTCGGGGACGAATGAAATCCACTTGTGTGTGACGGCTCTTCCCACAGGATAACAAACACATGCGAGTGTGTCTGACATGTCAGGATATTTCATATTGTCAGTCTGGTGAGACTGTTTGACCACAGTGATGTGCACTTTCTCCAAGTATGGATATGCCATAAACACACACACACACACAATGCCTGGAGCACTGACAAAGGCTTGGCATGGGGAATGTCCAATTCTGTGGGAAATCATATACAGTGTGTGTGTGTGTGTGTGTGTGTATAGTGGAGGCAGTTCACCATATTTTTGGGTGTGGTAATTTTAGTAGAACATAAGTCTTCATTAATTGAGACAGGACTTACCCGTATGGGTTTTACATACAAACATAATAAACATAACTCATATGATTGAATTATATTTAAACATGATCCTGTGGTGGTACAGGGTCCAAAATCAACACTAACACGCATAAAAATGTCAATAGCGCTATTTATATGCAAGTAAATAAAATGGAGTATATGAGCAGTTAGTAAAGTAAATAACACGGAGCAGCCGACCCTAAACTGAGGAACCGCCGTATAATCACAACAACATTACACACCTAACCCAAAGAGATACACAGAATACATAAAAAATCTATATTGTGTGTGTGTTTGAGAGAGAGAGTGAGTGTGTGTGTGTGTGTGTGTGTTTCTTTGTGTGAGTCTGTCTGTGTGTTTGTGAGAGTTAGTGAGTGTGTGTGTACTACGTATACGTCTAAATATTGTTCTTAAAAATTAATCACTCTGACTGACCATTTTCTGTGACAAAATTGAGATGAAAGGTCCAATTAATCCGAGTTTGCAGATTTACAACCAAAGACAACAACAGATCCGTTACTATGAACACTCTCAGAAAAAAAGGTACGAAAGCTGTCACTGGGGCGGTACCTTTTCAAAAGGTACACTTTGTACCTAAAGGGTGCATATTGGTACCTTATTGGTACCATATTGGTACATATTTGTACAATTATGGTACCAATATGCACCCTTTAGGTACAAAATTGTACCTTTTTGGAAAGGTACAGCCCCAGTGACAGCTTTCGTACCTTTTTTTCTAAGAGTGAATGATCAAAGGCTGAGACTGACTGCTAAATTAATTTATTCTGATCTAAATAAATATGCTGGATATATATTTTCACAATGCTATTAAAAAGGCAACAAGAAATCAAAACTTTTTTAAAAAATGAAGGCGGGGCTATAACCTGTCACTCACATGAGATCAGCCAATAGCAAACCACAGCCATCCAATCAGTTCCACACAGACTCAATCAAGCCCCGCCCACATGTGTTCGTGTTCCAGAAGCGTTTCACTCGATATACGACACAATAGATAAGAAAAGACGAGCACAACTTGCGTTTCATGACCATTTTAAAGTAGCCTATACAAGTCTTAACACTCATCTTTTTACTTTTTCCCCTTTGAACCTCCAGTTTCACTTGTCAAAACTGGGTTGACTTTAAACAGCAACTAGGGATACTCCACTTTTTTTGGAAATAGGCTCATTTTACCACTCCCCCAGAGTTAAACAGTTGGGTTTTACCATTTCCGAATGTATTCAGCCGATTTTTTGATATTTAGAAAAATAGAAAAATATCAGTAACCAGACAGTTTCTGGTCTCATTGACTTCCATAGTAGGATAAAAAATATATACTATGGAAGTCAATGAGACCAGAAAATGTCTGGTTACTGATATTTTTCTAAATATCAAAAAATCGGCTGAATACATTCGGAAATGGTAAAACCTAACTGTTTAACTCTGGGAGAGTGGTAAAATGAGCCTATTTCCAAAAAACTAATCTCTGTCATGTACAACGGCCAATACAGTGTGTTTAACATTTAAACTTTTTTATGTGATCACATTATTTCTTTGTTAAATATAGGGGGAGAGAGTTTCCAAGTTTTTCACACAGCTTGCTCTTAATATTAACCTCGTTTTCATTTACCTAGTGTTTTGAGCCACCCTCACTGAACCACACAAACTGGCTGCTTTACACGCACACTATGTTCACCTCATTAATGCTGGGCGTTGCTTAGTGAAACGTCTGTTGATGTTCATTGTTCCCCTCGAATGAGCCAAGAAAACGACGACTACGACCATAATCGCAGGTCACACTCAATTAGCACCTGCCTCACTGTTTTTTACACACACACACTTCTCGTTTTGGGGACAATATGGAGTTGGACCCGACTCTCCTGGCGTGAAGCCCGAGTTGGGTGTGTACCAGTGTAACGAGAACCGTGCCAACCGGGAAAACAGTTCTCCAGGGATCTGTGTTGGTGCCCAAACACTGGCTTTAAACTCAGTCTGATTTAAATATAACAATAAGCTACATGGAATATATTCATATAAATGTATGTACTTTCTACATGACGTATTGCAGAAACCTGTGTTGTTCTTATTAAGATCGCTATTTTCAGTTAATCCGACAACCGCCAACTATAAACACTGTTGACATGTCAACTTCAACTATAAATGTGTTGACAGTTGAACAACAAGCCATCGCATGTCAACAGTTAAACTATAGTTTAGCTATAAACATGCTAACAGAATAGCTACATGAAGACAATGACTAACTTCAGGTATAAAAAATCAACATTTGGATAACTTAGCTAAAAAAATCTCAACAGTTTAACTTTAAATATAGACTTGTTGACTGTTGAACTAACTTTAAGTTTCAACATTTTGGATCGCTAGAGTCCCCCTGCAGTCAATAATTGTATCCCTTAAAACTCATCTTTGATCGCTAAAATGACATTTAAAAGTTTTTTCTTTTGATTGTAACTCGACACCCTTGCCTCATTTAGTATATGCGGTTCTTATGAATATGCAAATGAGCCCCGCCCCCACTCACTCACTCAGAGATCCATTGGTTGACGATCACACGTTGATCTGATTGGTTACAAGGTGGTTTGTGATGTCAGAAACACCAGCGATTACAAAACGTGTTTTTGAGACTGTCTTTGGTTCACTGAAATACTCAGCAATGCTGTCCACTTATCAACTTACACATGGTGTGTGTTAAAGCGTATTAAACACACCACATACACACAAACAACATTAAGAGTTTGACTTTCTCTACAGAAGGGCTTCAACTCTCAACAGTTAACTATAACTAAAACACCTGTTATGTATTTTTCATTGCATTATCAATCAGTCCCTGACACAATTTGTAGTGCAATGATGTAAAATCAATCTCGAGTAGCAAGAACATTCTTGGTCTAAAGCGTTGCATAATCATTTTGTAAACATATGCATGTGGTTGGCGACGAGGTGATGGTGAACTCAGTCCTCAGCACACGGAGATCCCTCGCCAAAAACACAGTAAAAATATTTACAAGCTTTTCGTAGACAAGATTTACAGTAATGAAACCAAAAAGGCTATCGAACCAATAAATGAACAAGTTTGTTTAAACATGCACTGATAAATATAATAAAAAAGGTCTGCCAGGATGGACGCTGTAAGTGATAGTATCAAGTTATAAAACATCTCTAATATAGAGTAATCTTATAGTGGAGTATGTCTGTCCTGGATCAGCGGAGATTGTAGTAAATTACTATGATGCATGAGCCGAGGGAAACTCACACAGGGATTGAACAGATTTACTGCCTTTGTTTATTAGCTGTTTTTACAGTAGTGTGGGGATGTCCACACCACTGTAATGTCAAAACATCTCCTGAGAACCTCTTGAAGAGGCGCTTGAAGCACTTGAATTTGACTTTTTGAAATTTAAGTCCTGGATAACCCTTGAAAACAGCCATTTTTATGAAGAAGTACTTGAATTATTGACAATATATGGGACATTTATTTTAAATTTTATTGATAAAACAATCTTTTCACAACAACTGAAAGCTGCAGTCCATCTGATATACATATAGAAGCATTTTGCATGGCTATGAGCATGATATTACACATATATATGTAAGTATTGGATACAGCTTTTATTCTTCATGTCAATCATGTATTCATGGGAGAAAAAAATTTTGCAATTTATTTGATTTTGGTTTATTAGTTTATTTTTATTTATCTATTTACCTTTTTTAAATTTTAAAAGATAATAAAGAAAGATTTTGTTCGTTAAGATCGCTGATTAATAAAAAATAGTGCTTGAAAAGTCCAGGAATTTCATTTTACAGTATCTGTACAAACCCTGTCTAAGAAAAACAACCACACACGCACACACACTGCGGTCTCACTGTTAGTTATGAGTTTGTTTTCAATCTCCAGGTTATCCTGCAAGCACATGAGTTTGCTCCAACATGTTAAGCATTTCATAAAGAGGGAGAGAGGGCAAAAAGGAAGAGCCAATGGGAGTTAAGCAGGAGTTTTGGCTCATAATGAAGACCAGATGGTTTACCTTCACTGGTAGCCACATTCTTGGGAGCTTTGGTGGGTGTGTGATCCGTGCCGGAGCTCACATCGGAGGAGAGACTGGAGCTTCCCTTCCCTGGGACAAAAGGAAAGAAGGAAACAACAGTGGCCACGTTTACATGTAACCAAATCATCCGTTAGTAATGAGATTCACGGCTCAATCGAACTGAAACGCCTTCATGTAAACACCTTAACCGATCCGACTGAGCTCGATATAAATTTTGAAATGCGTGGTTTATTCCTTTTCTAATCCGATCGATAGAACATGTAAACACTGGATTGGATTGAAATGGAAACAAAGGACTGCACATATGCAATGATGTTGAAATATCGTAATGATGTTGAAATAGAGTAATGACATAGAAATAGCCTAATGACATAGAAATAGCGTAATGACATACGTTGAAATAGCGTAATGACGTTGAAATATTGTAATAACGTAGAAATAGCGTAATGATGTAGAAATAGCGTAATGACGTTGAAATACCGTTATGACATTGAAATAGCGTAATGACATGTGTTGAAATAGCGTAATGACATACGTTGAAATAGCGTAATGACGTGAAAATAGCGAAATGATGTTGAAATAGCGTAATGATGTAGAAATAGTGTAATGGTGTAGAAATAGTGTAATGGCATAGAAACAGCATAATGACGTAGAAATAGCGTAATGACGTTGAAACATCGTAATGACATACGTTGAAATATCGTAATGACGTAGTAATAGCATAATGACGTAGAAATAGCTTAATGACTTAGAAATAGCGTAATGCCTTTAAAAAAAATAGCATAATGATGTAGAAATAGCGTAATGATGTTGAAATAGAGTAATGATGTAGAAATAGTGTAATGGCGTAGAAATAGTGTAATGGCATAGAAACAGCGTAATGACGTAGAAATAGCGTAATGAGGTTGAAACATCGTAATGACATACGTTGAAATATCGTAATGATGTAGTAATAGCATAATGACGTAGAAATAGCATAATGACGTAGAAATAGCATAATGACGTAGAAATAGCGTAATGACGTAGAAATAGCGTAATGACGTAGAAATAGCGTAATGACAGAAATAGTGTAATGACGTTGAAATAGCATAATGACGTTAAAATACCGTTATGACATTGAAATAGCGTAATGACATGTGTTGAAATAGCGTAATGACATACGTTGAAATAGCGTAATGATGTTGAAATAGCGTAATGACGTTGAAATAGCGTTATGACATTGAAATAGCGTAATGACATGCGTTGAAATAGCGTAATGATGTTGAAATAACGTAATGATGTAGAAATAGCATAATGATGTTGAAATAGTGCAATGATGTTGAAATAGCGTAATGATGTAGAAATAGCGTAATAACATACGTTGAAATAGCGTAATGACGTGAAAATAGCGAAATGATGTTGAAATAGCGAAATGATGTTGAAATAGAGTAATGATGTAGAAATAGTGTAATGGCGTAAATAGTGTAATGGCATAGAAACAGCGTAATGACGTAGAAATAGCGTAATGACGTTGAAACATCGTAATGACATACGTTGAAATATCGTAATGACGTAGTAATAGCGTAATGCCTTTGAAATAGCGTAATGACGTAGTAATAGCGTAATGCCTTTGAAATAGCGTAATGATGTAGAAATCGCGTAATGACGTAGAAATAGCGTAATGATGTAGAAATAGCGTAATGACGTAGAAATAGCGTAATGATGTAGAAATAGCATAATGACGTTGAAATAGCGTAATGACATACGTTGAAATAGCGTAATGCCTTTGAAATAGCATAATGACGTAGAAAAAGCGTAATGACGTAGAAATAGCATAATGATGTAGAAATAGTGTAATGGCGTAAAAATAGCGTAATGACATAGAAATAGCGTAATGACGTAGAAATAGCGTAATGACGTAGAAATAGCGTAATGATGTAGAAATAGCGTAATGACGTGGAAATAGCATAGAAATAGCGTAATGACTTAGAAATAGCGTAATGACGTAGAAATAACATAATGGCATAGAAATAGCGTAATGACGTAGAAATAGCGTAATGACGTAGAAATAGCGTAATGACTTAGAAATAGCGTAATGACGTTGAAATAGCGTAATGACATATGTTAAAAAAAAAGCAAAATCGTTAAAATATTGTAATGACGTAGAAATAGCGTAATGATGTAGAAATAGTGTAATGGGGTAAAAATAGCGTAATGACGTAGAAAAAGCGTAATGACGTAGAAATAGTGTAATGATGTTGAAATAGCGTAATGACGTAGAAAAAGCGTAATGACGTAGAAATAGCGTAATGATGTTGAAATAGCGAAGTGATGTAGAAATAGTGTAATGGCGTAGAAATAGCGTAATGCCGTAGAAATAGCGTAATGTGTGTTAATGTATGTAATATTAATCATATAAAGAACCGATGTAGGAGATGACATTTAAACGCACACCTCGACCCGATCACATGTTCAGTGTTCATGTAAACACTGCATTCAGATTCATCAGTCGGAATGAATTCAGTCCGATTGAAAGAAAGGTTGTGCACAGCCATTGTGTGCTTGTTTTTGAGTTCATAGCATTCAGTCCCATTGGCAGCAGTGGGAACGCTGGTGTGAAGGGTGGGGTGCAGCGCTTCCCACTGTAAGTCAATATTATAACAGATGCAATAAAAGTACCATCGGACATTTTGGGCCCATCACTCATTCACTCACTGAAACTCCTCTTGTTCCTAATCCAGAGTGAGGGCTGAGGTTTTCATGATTAAAGATTTGGAGAGGAACTCATTACCCAAAACTCATCAGGAATGCGCCAAAGCTGAGCAAAACCCTTCGTTTCTTTCTGCCAAGTAAAGAAAAAGGCAATATCCGTGACTGGAACAATAGATGGAAGAAGTTACTTTAGTATCTCGAATACTGGCAGAGTTTGCAGTTTCGCAGTAATCCTCCAAGACGGATTTATCTATCGTACATTAGGACATATTTGGCCACTGTGCAAAAACCGTTCATGATGGCTTGTTACTTGCATTTGGTTGAGGTTTAAGAGGGGGAATAAGTTCAATACATGCACATTAGTTCACATTTGTGTATTTGAATGTTGGATTGGTGTTGTAATAAAAATGTGGTCATTCATAGCCTGGAACGGAGATTCTTCAGACATAAATCAAAAACACTTCCACCATCCTCAAGGTTATTGTCCCCCAGTCGCAGGGACAAGCCAGTGTTAAGAGCCTGAGTTTCACTGATGGAAAGCATGAATTTCCATGGTTAGTTGGTATATCACCATAGCCATGCTAACCAGTAAAGCTAACCAACCCAGGGGTGTGTTTCCCAAAAGTATCGTTAACCAATAGTTTACAACAGTCACTGAAATTCCCAAACAGAATCTCAACAGATCTTGACCTGTGAATAGCAGCATAGTTTATTGTTAGTAGACGTTGATTTTAAGTCTCTCTGTGGTGAAAATTAAGCTTTTAATGTTGTTTATGTGTCTATGAGGAGTTTTTAGCCATGTGTAGGTTCATAAGTGGACAGCATTGCTGAGTATTTCAGTGAACCAAAGACAGTCTCAAAAACACGCTTTGAAATCGCTGGTGTTTCTGACGTCACAAACCACCTTGTAACCAATCAGATCAACGTGTGATCGTCAACCAGTGGTGAGCTGAGTGAGTGAGTGGGTGGGGGCGGGGCTTATTTGCATATTCATAGAACCGCACATACTAAATGAGGCAAGGGTGTCGAGTTACAGTCAAGATATTTTAACTCGTGAAGAAATTTCAAGGATAGATGACATTACTGACTACTAGTTCACTTAAAAAAAAAAAAACTTTTGCTGATAATTTACTCGCCCCCATGTCATCCAAGATGTCCATGTCTTTCTTTCTTCAGTCGAAAAGAAATTAAGGTTTTTGCAGCATTTTTCTCCATATAATGGACTTCAATGGGAATCAAAAGGTTCAAGGTCCAAAAGACAGTTTCAGTGCAAACTGTTCAAAGGGCTTTAAACGATTCCAGACGATGAATAAGGGTCTTATCAAGCGAAATCAGAATCTTTTTCCGAGTCATTTGGTTCATTCAACGAACAAAATGAACGAATTGACTCGGAAAAAGATTTGTTCATTTTGATAAACGAGTTCGAACAGGAGAGTCACGAACGAACATCACAGAACAGCAAGGCGAGCATTTGAGCTTATAAAACTTAAACTTTGTTATTTATTTATTAAATGAGCGATCGTTTCGCTTGATAAGACCCTTATTCATCGTCTGGTGTCGTTTAAAGCCCTTTAAACAGTTTGCACTGAAACTGTCTTTTAGACCTTGAACCATTTGGAGTCCATTGAAGTCCATTATATGGAGAAAATCCTGGAATGTTTTCATCAAAAACCTTAATTTCTTTTCGACTGAAGGAAGAAAGACATGGACATCTTGGATGACATGGGACTGAGTAAATTATCAGCAAAAGTTTATTCAAAAGTGAACTACTCCTTTAAGAGTCCGAATATGTTTTGTGGCCACTGGGAAGATCGTCTTTTATAAATGTAGAGTGTGTATAAATCAAGGCAAATGTGGGAATGTGTGCTCAATAATCCTACTCATTCAGTCTCCATCTGGAATATTTTTTTTTTTAAATCTCCATAAAGGTGGAAAAGAGCTCTTATATGACTTATGGATTAGGGTCATCGGATCAGGAGCAGGAATGGCCACTCCGGTTGTGAAATTCGAAGGAAATCTCCTTTGCAGTCTTTTGTAATTTCTCCTTTTTCGTGATGGGAATGGCTGCGTTCGGGATGGCAAAAGACTGACAGCTTAATGACTCAAATTTATTTTCAAAGTCCAGCAGAGCACTTTCCTTCCTCGTTTAGTAGGAGAGAATGGAGACTTTTGGATTTTCCAGTCGTTATTTTTACAGGTCAGAGTTCAGTTGTAGTTCAGATTTAAAATCAATGATCTATTCTTCTACATCAGGCACTCTTAAATACGTTCACTGTATCAGGAGAAGGATCACGTAAACCTTAAAGGAGTAGTTCACTTTTTTTTTTTTTTTATTTGCTGATAATTTACTCACCCCCATGTCATCCAAGATGTCCACG